ACTGTAAAACTGGCTCCCAACCCTCCTCCCCCACCCCATCCTACTGTAAAACTGGCCCCCAACCCAACCCCTCCTCCGCCAACCCATCCTACTGTAAAACTAAAAAAGATGATAGAACCGACAGCAGCTCTGTGAATAATAAGCTCATTGTTTGGGGTCATTTGCTAATATAGTGCTAGAAACTAAAGGTTTGTCCTGATTCCTGAAACAAACATACATCGTATAACAGGCACTTACTTTGTCACATAGATACCCAAAAATTAAAGATATTACGTATACTCTTCCAAAGAGATAACATTCCTCTAAGTGTGGTTTAGATCTGTTGTATTATTTAAGTGACACCACTTATTTAATAAATGAACAACAGTGGTCTAACCGGTTTTACCGTTTGAACGAAAACAACCCTACTGTCCCCAAACATCTTATTGATACTGCTGTATTAATGACCGTCAAATAAATATTGTTTACCTCTGCACAATGCTGAATCGTTTCTGGACCAACCCCTCCATCAACCTCAATGTCAACACCTTTGAAATGATCTCTTAAAAACTGGACCTACAATGACAATGAAGACTACTATACAGTTATTAAAGCATCACATCATATGCATTGTATATAAATTGACATCAAACTTATCAAATCAGTAGTAAACAAATCACCATCTCTTAAACTCTTTATAACCTTATCGATCATTCATGCATTTAAGTTTAAAGTAAACTTATATATTTAAACATTTATTATTGATGTTTATTTTTAATCAGAACATTGTTCGTTAGATATAGATGTATTTTGACACAGTGTTACAAAATACATCTAATTCAAATTTTGATAACACCACTGCTTGGGATATTGAGAATCTCAAACAAGTTTCAATATTGATATGAGTTTTAAGAAACAAGCTTAGCTTTAGTTTCAGTAAGGTTTGATGGGATGGAAACAACTTGTACAAAACACGAAAAACTATACATTTTTTAATATCTAAACTGGAAACTAATTTTCCTTCACAGTGTAGTATGAATTGGTGATAAAATTGTATTACGTCTGTTACAGAATATTTATGCTATAGTGTTAAGAAATTGATCATATAATACTTTTCTATTTCTCACATAGCATAGTAAGATATAATGCTGTGTTATTATGGAAGCAAATCAACAAATACTCAGTGTATACATATCTATAAATAAATACCTTGATAACAACTGTAATAATGATTCACCACTATGAAGATCAGTTCATTGATATTTCCAAAAACGATCAGTGATTTTGAAGGATTTTTTTCGGGTATGTACTGAATTTCATGATTGAAATATTGAACAATCCCATAATAAAGAAAGACAGAGGGTTCTCTCTATATGGTTGAGTCCCACTGGACGAGCAGGAGTTCAGGACTGTCTGTGCGACTGTCCCGAAAAATCATTGAATGACATATATATCCTAATATCAATCCCTAGTTGTTCGTGTATTTATTGCTGTATGACAATAGGTGATCCTTTCAGGCATATTTTCAACTAAATTGTCAGTGGGAGCTACTCCCCCTTGCATCACTATTTCTGTAACTACTAAGTTATACTGTATGTAACAGTGCTCTCTCTTTCTCTCTGTATGTATAGTATGCGAGTTTGTAACTTTTGATAGGAAAGGACTAGTATAGGCATAGCCTGTTGTCCAATCCTTTTGATTTTTTAATAAAATTTATTTAAATGAAAGTTACGAGGAATCTTCAATTTTTCATCAGACTAATAATATATATCGATTACCTTTGGCATCATATTTTGCATGAATTTTTGTCCACCAAAACCTGGTTCTACCGTCATGATGAGGACCATATCCACCAAGTCAACAAGAGGAACTAGCACATCCACCGCAGTGTCTGGCTTGATACCGATTCCCGCCTAAAAACACAATTGTCAATATAACACCTTATGTCTACAGTAATAGGAGTATTGTTTGGTACTAGAAAAGAATTTGAAGGCCACTTCTTGTAGTTACAGTACCAGGACAGCAGCTGACCCTATGAATTAGCAATGGTTTAGTGCTCCCCAAAATCATTAACTGATTTATTATGCATCACTGTCTAGTATACTGGACAAGATTTTGGTACTCTATTCCCTGTTGTCAAGCATACTGGAGTGGACTAGAGTTTGCCTACAAGGCTACTTTCTTTCCGTTGTCTAATATATGCTGGACAAATTAATTTGTAACTAAGGAAAAACATCTCCTGAAATGATCGATGAAAAGAAACACTAACATGCATGATAGCTTAGTTAAAGCAATAAAATATAATTCAAATAAAACAACAGGTAAAACAGTAAGAATTTTACATAAAGGTCATCAATTATAAAAAAAAGCTTAGGAGAGGGTTCCTGAAAATTACTGAGAGAGTATGTGGTATAAAATAAACCTGATAATAATAAGAGCTAAGCTCACGGGTGCCGAAGGCACCCGTGCGAAGCTCTTTACCGGTAACATGTGCGTGTAAAAAGATCTGATCCAACCAAACTGATTCCATCTCTGAATCGTACAGCTACAGCCTAGAAACTTTTTCGTACTTCCGGTGACCTCTTCCGGTTTCATGGAGCCCGTAAATATGCCTAATCGAATAATAGAGCAACATGTAACGTAGCACAGAAATAATGTATTCGAAACTACGATTTTTTCAAAAAATATTGACCATATTCAAAAAAATATTGACCATATTCAGAACACCGAGCGAGTTTATTTCCACGATTTCTTTACTTTTCTTCCGAATCGACAAAATTAGTTAGCATGGTCATCAAAAAGCTTACATTAATGTAGTCTCGTTCAACCAGACTCTTATCGTCTGCGGTTGAACGAAACAAAAAGTAATGTCACAAACACATAGCGTCGAAGGGAGCGTAATAATGTGATTATATTGTAAATTTGGGAAAGCAATAAATAATGTGATACTAACATCTTTCTTAACATACAATTTTCCGTCTGTACACACAATCGACCGTAACACACGGATGTCATCCCCCCACTAGGACGGAAATACCCGAGTATGTAGGAAGCAGGGTCACTGAAGATGTTGCTTGATTCTCATTGGATAATAAAAGGTCAGATCATTGATGAGGTCAAATTTCACGCAGTTGTACACAGATACACATGTGCAAAGGAATCACCGGCAGCTTTCAACGGGAAACGTAAGATTTTTCAAAGGGTCATTACTTGCTCTGCTTTAAGAATATCATTAAGGAAGACTTAGACGCATACCATTTTCACCACTTTTACTTTGTGTTTAACAGAATGCATAATATGGGTCCATCAGCAACCATTTCTATTGAAAATCAAAACTATTCTGCATATGATGTACCTGGTGATGGCAACTGTTTTTTCCACTGTCTAAGTTTATCATTCAATAGTGACTTCTCAAATACTGAAAATTTCAGAAAGCAAATTTGTACAGAAATCTACCAAAACTGGGATACATGGGCAAATGAACTTGCTTTAGCACATTACCCATCTATTACAAAATCCAGTTACTGGAGGGGAATGGTACAAAATGTAGGTTGAAGCGTCCTTTGAGTTATTATGCTTTTACAGTATCACCAGGTACAACATTGTCTACACACTTCTGACTTTCACATTGTCCATTTCTTCATATGTTCTTCTCATCAGTATCAATTAACGATGTACACCTCTGAGAAGTCAAAAAATTCCTGTATTAAACTTTTTTTCTTATATTGATTTTTGGAAAAGGGAGATAATGACATAGTAGAAAATGCAAAAAAAACTACATGTCGGTGTGTTCGTTTTTGTGCTATGATCGGTCAAAGATATCAATTTAATACAATATGTGATTTTAGGTGAATTTTCGGGTTTTGACCATTTGCAGAACAAATTCATACAATTTCTTCCAAGTGTGTTATCAGATATGTATGAATGTTTGTAGAATTGATAAAAATATTATTTTCTTTGAAACTATGGAAGTAAAATGTCTTAAACTTATTTATTTTACTCAGAAATGCGATTTTAGTTACCCCTACCCCTTATTTTTTAATGAAAAAATGCACATTTTCCCCATTTTTTGCCGATTAAACGCTTGATATAAAAAATTCCTGTAATAAACTTTTTTTAGTATTCAATGAATCAAAAGAAAATGTGTTTCTCTTTCTTAAACGGACACAAAAATGGGGGGTCGGTGTGCTTCTTTTTTTGTCCCATTATTATTTGTATTATTTTTCACCATTTTCGGGGTCAAAAATAAAAAATGCTTCAGTTACCCTCATATGTAAAAATAATATAGAGTGTATATATAATGGTACATAAACAGTTAACAGAGAAACTAGTTCTGTCCAACTACATGTGTTAGTCTGTAACAAACAAATGAATGTCCATCTTTATGAACGCTACAGGTAAATACAATGTTGAAGCTAACTGCAGATAAATACCTTCATCCCAGCTTCTCTTATTTTTCTGATACACTTTTTGGGGTCATTTGTCGCCTCATAATGGAAGGTATACTGATCAGCACCAGCATCATGCATGCCATCAATCCACTGCAACATAAATATCATAAAAATGCATAAGAAGGGAGATAAATCTTACATACTTACTCCAGATTTGGTTGGATTATATATGTTATATATATATAGCAGTAAACAGTTTCCCAATACTTTTTTCAATACACCAATGAAGCAGGTTAGGACTGGTATTTTATATTTTAACTGAACATTCAGAGTTAATGGCTAACACATGCTTAACCTGTGTGTTTTCATTGCAGACTTTCTCTATAAAGCAGGATATTTAAATTGTTCCCTTCAACAGGTATGAAAATCCTATAACTTGAGTGACACACCGTAATTCAACACATCCTCTCTGATATGATGGGAAAACATTATTGTATCAACTCGAACACATTTGAGTACAGTTGTGAACTGATATACATAAAAAGGTCAGATAGTTTTTTTTTAAGAAAATTGTAGAACATGATGGCATGTTTAAATTCTGTGTTAAATGAAAATGACTGAGATACACAAGTTATAATGGACGTTCACAAACAAATTAAAATGTGTACAATAATCTAGTACAATTAAAATTGATACCATGTCTCCTGTTCCTCTTGACATGGATATTTATGAAAAACACAGAAAAACACGTCACAGGTGGGTACATTGTAAAAATTGATTCACTCACCTGGGAACGATTTAACAGTTAACTGTGACTGTCTATTGGATTTCATTGAGTGGCGTATTTCTTAAAATGATATGAAATCAACAATACATGACTTTTCTCATTGCAAACGTACTTAACATTGCTTTCCCCAAATGACAAATGTAGATCGTAACCTCAGTCCGTGAATGCAAACGTGCCATTTTCTATAATCATTTTTATAAAGAACTTTATTGTTAACATATACATTTCTGTACATAAATCTGACAGACTTGCGAGAATCCGCTCACCTGCTCGGGATTTTGTACCATCATGTGCATATCAAAGAAAACTCCAGGAAGTTTGGGGCGAAGACATTTTACAACAGGATGACCAAATGTTAAGTTCGGAACAAATTGTCCGTCCATCACATCCAAGTGTAAGTAATCTGCTCCGCTGTCCATCATACGTTGACATTCTGAAGCTAGATCAGAAAGGTCTGCGTTTAAAATAGATGGTCCGATTTTGCAGGAAGGTGTATTCATGGGCGCCGCCATTTTTAAGAATAACGAAAAGTTGCGCATTTGTTTACAGACTTATTTTCGTATCTTATTTCCCGCTGAATGTCAAACGAAGAGAATCGTTGTTATCTCCCTTCTCTTGTGATTTTCCAACTTCTGCTATGTTCAAATTTATTTTGACCCTTCCATCAAGTTCAAGACAATCAAGGACCTTTGATGAAGCAACTGTGCTTCCATTTCAGGGTTATAGCTCTTTTTCTGCATATTATCATGACTGTAATTACATTGAATGAAATAGAATAATAACGATGAGATCAGGCCGACATTCGTCGTGAGATTTCTTTGTCTTGTCTATCATCAATTTTGTTAGAATTAAAGAATAAATAGTAAATTCTGAAATATACTGACTTTTAATGACAGGTACTTCTGATATTGAAACAAAAAGGAAATATAAGGTTAAAAAATGACAACAGCGCATTTAATAATGCAGTATACATGATGCCAGTTCATTCAGCGTTTGTCTTACAAAACATCGCTGATGGATACAGCATTTGCTAAATTGTGCTATGTTTAATAACCAATTAAAGAAAACTATTTGGAGCAATTAAACTGTAATCTGTTTTTAATAGAGGCATATATTTAATAAATTCAACAAGTGTAAACCCTCCGAGATCTGGGAAATTTACAGAACCAGTAGGAACTTGGTCATTGAAATGAAGATTTTCAGTAAAGTCAATACGTGTTAAATGTCTTGAACGCTGTCAGGGAGGTGCTAAATTTGACCTACTACATGAAATCCTTCATATCCTCTACGAGTACTATTGGAGCTCCGTCTACCGAAAATGATGCTGTCATTAATTACAGACAATACCGAGAACAGTGATATTTTAAATGCTGATTACATAAATGTGGCCAGTGACATTGGAACAGTTCGGGGGGACCAGACTGAAGATGTACATGGCAGTATCAAAACATAAGGGATAAAACATATCAGAACGAACTCGTCCAATTTCACTCAGTCCCTTACCGCATTGTTTCTAAGAACACGATAAGATTTAATTGAGATAAAACCCTGTTGGAGCCAAATAGACAGATTTTCAGATAAACATCTGAATTGTTGCTACCCGATTTTACAGTACGGTATATCAATGTAGAACCTTGCTATTCTTCAATCCTCAGAGCATTTCTTACTCAATCAAGCACATTATCGGTTTGATAGGCTAATGCATGATCACTTCTTTTTTACCTTTGCTCTGCTGCTTTCAGGGCTGGTTTTGGTGTCCTACCAATGCGCTGCCTCTATACATGTAGGAGGACTGGCGTATGACTTTAGACCAATACACTCTTGTGGGTTTGTCCACTGCCTTCGATTGTCATCCTCATACTTTGTTGTTGGGAAAGCTCGAGACATACAGCCTTGATCAGGCTGCTTTGCCTTTCATCACTCGAACTGTATCAATGACTGAAGGCAGCTAATCAAGGTTGGGCCATCAGTCAGTGGTTAAGTAAGCGAGTACCACAAGCTTCAAATATTGGCCACCAAGTTTTATGTAATAATTCCTTAAATGCATTTATATTTCAAAATATCAACAGTCTAAGCTTTGGAGCTTAGTCCTTCATCAGGGATTGGATAGACTTCAGCCTTATGTCACATCCATATTTAAATATTTATGTTTAGTCAAAGGGTATATTATATAATTATGCTGACGATAACACCTTAGCATATGTGCATGAAGACCAATAAGTCCGCAAAGATGTCCTGGAACTTACATAACAAAATCTTATCACATGGTGGAGTCCAATAGAGGTCGGGTGTTTGTGACAATTTGTGTTGCCGTTTATTTAATTTATAAGTTATGGTAGCTTTGTTGATTTGTACCGATTTTTAAATAGGCGATAAATATTTATGCTGCACCCTTTCTCGACCCGGACCTTTATCAACCATCGAGGTGAAGATTTCGACTTATATGGGGTCTAGGAATGATAAAATGCAATGTGAGACGTTGTCATTTTTTTACGTATAAACACATAGCTATCCATTGTTTTGTAATATGATTTTCATTAAGGGCAGGGGTCTTACGTTTTTAGTCATTAAAGATTTGGTTTTAATATCTCATTCGAAGATAGTCGTGTATTAACAGGTGATCATATGCTATATAAAAGCAGGGGCGGGTCCAGGTGAGGGCGTAATGGGCGTAAGATCAATATGAAACTACTTTCACATGAAAACACCCACTTGATTTGCAATCCAAGAAGTCATGATTTAGCTGTAAAAGAGTCATACAATCATGTCAATAAAAACTTTAATAGAATTAAAATATATGTTGTAGTAATTTAATTTTGCATATTACCAGCTTTTTGATTGGTTTACATTAAAGTTCAAGACTTCATTGATTGAAAATTGTACACCGGATATACTCTTCTCTTTGTTTATAAATACGCGTTATGAATTCAATTTTATCATTTTACGGGTCTGTCAAGGCATAAACAACTAAGGATGACACCACTTTAAGATTCATGCTAATTTGCACATCCGTTTCTGCCTATGCCTCGATAGACCAAAACAAAAGAGAAAAATTTTTAAATAGCATTACACATCAATGTCCAGTTGTCGACCAGGTGATACCACACTTATTATATGATTATGATTTTACAATACAGATAGTGTTTTGTACAACAAAAGCAATGTTGATAATTAAAACAGAATTGTTTGTTACTTGTAACTACGACAGAATTGTTTGTTACTTGTAACTACGACAGAATTGTTTGTTACTTGTAATTACGACAGACTCGTTTGTTACTTGTAATTACGACAGAATCGTTTGTTACTTGTAATTACTGTTGATTGCTAAATTTAGTTCTAGTATCTATTGTGATACACTAACAGTATCTGAATTGAAAACACGAGTTCATGTTATATATACTTGTTTTATTTTCAATAATTATTTTTAATTTCCCTGTTATGTTAATTTTGAATAAGCAGTAAATATATTTAACAAACATCTATTGATTTAAATAGGATATTGATTGATATTTTATTTCTTTAAAAATAGAAATTTAATGAAAAGACTACATTGATTACAAAGTATTCACCTGCTTAACAAATCAGGAAGTAATCTAACCACGACTGACCATTTTTAGCACCAGCCCTATTGTGAAATTCTTTTGAGCTTTACTCTAAAAATGACAGTTATCAATTTGTAAGTATACTTTGACATCAGCATAACCATTCTTAAAGATTATTTGTAAGTCTATTAATACATACATGTAATCAATCTTTGATTAGAATCTGGGTTTTTTTGTCAATACGACTGCAATGAACATTGGCTGTTTTCCTACGAGGGAAAATTGAATATCTTGTACACGTTTCTCTATATGATTTGACTTGAAAAAAAGTATTTGGGAAAAAAACTAATGTACACATTGATGTATTTGTGTAATTAGTAAATATTCTACTGTCGATATTAAGCAATTAATAGAGAACTCGAGAGTCAAACACATTTGATGAAGTCTCATTGCAGTGGTCGTAATTGAGCTGTCTTTTCAAAAGGTTTTCTTGGCGTTGTGACATGACAACCTGATGTGGTTTTCTATTAGCGGCATCCGCAAGGAAATGACGAAAAGGTCTGTGCTTGTTTCAAATTTCTTATTTTCATCTGATATATCTACCATTCAATTTTACGGCAATTCGTGCACTTTGATCTAAATCAAACCGATCAAAAACGATGATCGCAAACTGAGAGCCTCCTCAGTTCTATTGTAACTCTTCAGCATGGGAGGTTTGAATGATGACCTGCGTGCTCACGCGAAAACAGGCGCGTTCGTCTGATGGCGAATCAAATTTCACCAAAATATCTCCCAAATGTACACATCAAAGGTAGAATACAAACTTTACGGTAAAAACCGGGATGTTCCGAGTCTGCTTTTTCAATCAGGTACCGCCAACTTCAGAGGAAAAATAATTTTGGATGGTGGCGAAGCGACAATAATGCGCGGCTTCATTTCCACCCAAGCAGAAAGAGGCTGGTCGTTACTGAGATTTACAAACGTATTTTAAGCAACTAATTGCTGAAAAAATACCCAGTAAATGCCAGAAAATGTAACCCTCCCTATGCTTTGTGTTTTGTGGAGGGAAAACTGTAAATAATTTCCTAGATATAACGAGCTTTCTATTGTCCTGATTTCATGGGAAATAAAGCTAAGGTCGGCAATACTAATTTGCCCGTATATATTACAAGGACGCCACGTTTACTTACTAGGTGAGATATAGACATGAACTCATGTCAAATATCACCAGAATTGTATAATTAGAAGGTTTTGATCATATCATGGTATGGTCCTGACTGACCTGAGTATGTGTGAAATAGACATACTGCAGCAATGAGCACCTACCTCGATTTATCAAAATTACGGTATTTATAAAATCCTTATTGAAGATGATTAGTATTTTCATGTAAAAAGCCGAAATGATGTTCAAGAACAAAAGTTTTATATAGGGACAGTATTTTTAATAACCTTTCAATGAATCTTGCACAGTAAACAAGGATTATGTATTGTATTTTCTAGACATGATGTACTGTTATTACAGTATTTTACTGTGACAGGTTTTAAAATAAGCTATATTGTATATATTTTATTTTATGTATAATATAATGGATAATTATGTTATAGTCAACATTATTTTGTAGAAGGTCAGTTTATTTTTATTTTAGACTATTTCTTGATATATCTTACATAGGTAAAAATGCTTTGGTAGATATATGCGCTTTTTAAAATTTGTTTTAAACATATTTTATTGTAATTTATATACAATGGGAGTTGGGCACAAGTTTAACAACTTATATTAAGCCATTTCCCTACAATATATTAATACAAATGTTCAAGGTGGCATAATAAATATATATATTTACATTGGCTTTAATTAAGAGAGATAGACAAAGAGGTAGTGAAGAGAGACAGAGAGAGGAGAGGAGAGGAGAGAGGGGAGAGAGCGAGAGGGGGAGAGCGAAAGAGCTAGATTCGGATTAGTTTGTAAAC